CTGACTTTTTTTTCATGGAGAGGTTGTACTTCAAAATAGTTGTTGCTTCTGGATTCTGCCCCTGCTGCTGGTTGACTGTTAGCTGAGAGAGAAAAAGCAGCCATTTTGCAGCAAAGCCTCTCCATCTTTCTGCTGTCCCAGTGAAAAAAATCAGCTTTCCCATTGAAGACATTTGGGCGACTAATTATGGGGGGGGGAAAGGTGTGTGTAGTATGGGAGTAAATACGGTAATAAATCAGTTCTCCTTTTACTATTTAAGCTGCTGACCTGTTCACAATTTCATTTCTTGACCAGATGAGAAAACAGCAAAATACTTTCAAATATTGTTTATCAAAATTTTATGCAAGATTTAGGGGTGAGGTTCTTACATTTGCATGGGGCAGAGGTCAAAAATAATGACTGATGGGACATTGGGAAGGGAGGGAGAAGTAGGACCCTCAGTTTCTCTATACCAGGTGTTTTCAAACTTTTAAAATAAGTGTACCCCCAGTGACTGGACATGGAGCAGGGGGAGAGGGGTGGCGCGCAGCTGGACACGGAGCAGGGGGGTGGGAAGGGTGGTGCTCAGCCAGATGGGGGGGGGTGGGTTGGCAGCAGCCGCCGCTGCATGGAAACTTCCCCTTCACCACCTCGCGTCTGGCCAGCCGGACAGCATCTGTTTGGCCCACAAAAGGGTGCCACTGCCCTCTCCCTCCCAGCCCTACTCCTGGGAGGCAGCAGTGTGGGGTGGTGGGTGGCAGCAGTATGTCCCTGCCTGCCCATGTGTACCCCTTAGGGCCTTCCCAAGTACCCCGCAGTTGACAACCCCCATTTAATACATTCTGCAAATATAGTGCATTATCTATATCTAAGATAGCCAGTGCCTCCCTAAAAGACACCAGCTTCCCTTTCCTGTTGCTTTTGTGTTAACAGCTCTGGGATCGGTTCAGTTACATAGAGCTGCAGGTCATCAGCTCAATCTTTTCTGCTTCAGTGGCATTGAGCTGAGTTAGCCACTAGTTGTTTTCCACTCCCAGCAAATTGCAATTTTCCACTAAATAGAGCAGTAAGGTGTTATGTATTGGATCTACCCAGGGAGCAGGAGGGAGAAGGAAAGTCAAAACACGTATGTGCAAAATAACACCAAAGAAAAATTACTTAAAGAGAAGTATTGCAAACAAGGCAGCAAGAACAGGAAATGAGGCAAGAGTGACGATGAACAAAAAAGATCAGTGGCAGTAAGGGTTAAAACAAAGTTGTCCAGCTCGGAGGGGTTAGTAGCCCCTGGGCTCCTGGTCCAGGGGCTGTTCCCCACTTTGCTTTCTCACTGTTGCAGCCAGTATCCCTGCCCTCCCCGCCATACCTCCTCCAGCTTCTGTTGTCCCCACCCCACTGAGCATGATGGAGTGACAGAGCCCACGTGGCAGCCAGGCTGCTGGGTGCGGGGGGTCTGACCCAGGAACTGTCTGAAGCATCTGTACCAGTGTGGAGTAGTGTGGGAGTTGCCTGCCATGTAGTGGAGGGGAGGATGCATGTCTTATCACATCTGCATGGTCAGGGGGTTTGCACTGTGTGTTAGGGGATCCGTGTGGTTGGGGTGGGCTCATGCAGCATGTCAGGGACCTGTGTGGTGCAGCAAGGTGGGCTCATGTGGCGTAGCTTGCATGAGGTATGGCAGCCCCGGCTGCTCAGAAATTGGACAGCCCTGGATTAGAACATGTTATATGTAGCAGGAATGCATAGTCCTACAGATTATCCTGAGAGAGGACCCCAGCACAAGAAAAATGTTGCAACCCAAACTGTAGAAAGATATTCCTAATGTCAGTATATACATAGAGGCTTAACAGATGTACTCCCTTTGCTTCCCGTAGATACAATGGGGGGACATTATATAGAAATTTTCATATATATATATCCTTTTGCATTTTTTTTATTATTGAATTTTATGTGGCCCTGGCATAGGTGACTTACTATTTCCCAGCAAAGAGAGAGTTGTTTCAGAAACTCTTTATTATACAAATACTTAGTAGAAGATCAATGTTTGTTAAAGGAAAACATTAAAGCAAAGGCAGCTGTGGGGTTTTTCAGCAATACAGATTGTGGGGTATTTTAAAACTGTATGTAGCCCATGGGTTACCACAGTAATTCTCGGACTAATTGCACTGTTGTCATCTTTTAGGTTTATTATGAAGATTTAATAGTTCATTTTAGAACATAAAAACATATTCTTAATTGCTTTGCAGAAGATTATTGCATGAACTAACTCATTTGATTTTTTTTTTCTTTATAGGATTAGTGGTTGGGTTTATCCTAACAGTTGCAAATTTCAGCTTCTTCGCTTCCTTGCTCGCGTTTTTTGTTACTTCTTCAAAACTTACTAAATGGAGAAAAGATGCAAAGAAGCAAATAGATTCAGAATACAAGGAAGGTAAATGCCAAGATTAATTGTTAGACATTCTGAGAAAAATACATTCTGTCTTGCTTGATGTTTTTGAATGTAACAGATATTACGTAGTGTACAGAGTAGAGAACACTGTGCACTGTGCAAGTTTCCCTGCCCTCCTTAGCAGTAAAGTACAGATAGTAGCTGTTTCTTGAGGACTGTTCGTTGGTTTGGTTGCTGCTGTCTCCATCTGATGTAAGCTGCTGCATGTAAACTTCCTAGGGATGAAAGTATTCAAATTATCTTTCTTCCAGGTGGGCAGAGGAATTGGGTGCAAGTGTTCTGTAATGGTGGTGTGCCTACAGAGCTGGCACTGCTGTATATGATAGAGAATGGACCAGGTGAAATTCCAATAGATTTTTCCAAGCATTATACAGCATCGTGGATGTGTCTTTCCCTTTTGGGTGCTTTGGCATGCTGTGCTGGTGATACGTGGGCTTCAGAAATTGGCACTGTCCTGAGTAAAAGTGAACCAAGATTAATAACAACATGGGAAAAGGTACCAATAGGTGAGGCCTCTGATTTTACGTATTCTTGTGTTGATACTATATCTAGTTCTTTCTAAGAGCCTTTACATAATCAGATCCACAGTATTGAATTCTGCTAATATTGAAAAAGTTTACTTTGCTGAAAATAAGTACTGTTTTCCATAGGTTGTAAATAAAATGGAGTTATATAGCATCCTGTGACTGAAAAGCTGCCCCATTCTGAGTCTGTCTTTGTTTTTAACACTATTAGTGGGTTTACATTTTAAATGACATCTTCTGCAATATAAACTGTCATGTAACACAAATGAAGGGATTTGAAAAGCGTTTTAAAATCTGAGATATTTAATTGGTAAAAGGCTATATGCAGTAAGCATAAATACGACAAAAATACAAACTTTTTGTTTGATTTTTTAGGTACCAATGGAGGAATTACTGTAATTGGCCTTATTTCAAGTTTGCTTGGTGGAACAGTAGTAGGAGTGGCTTACTTCATTACACAACAGATTTTTGTGAGTGATCTGGATATATCTGCTCCACAGTGGCCGATCATTATGTTTGGAGCAGCAGCTGGTTTACTGGGTTCAATCATTGATTCATATTTAGGAGCTACAATGCAGTATAGTGGTAAGAAAATTATTTTTTTTCTAACTTAAAAACTGCCTTTAACTTAAGTTGCTAAAGATTTGGTTTTGAAAACAGGGAAAGAATGGATGGAGTAACTCAATGATGGATTTCCAAAAGATGGCAGAAAAAAAGGCAGTTAATCTTACCTTTCATCTTATTTCTGTTCCCTACTTCTTTGTTTTTAGAATCTCAAAATCATCTTGGGCTACTCTCAATTTGTTACATGAATTGTAATGGTTTTTGAAATGATCAGGAAAAAGTGATAAGAAATAAATATAGTATTCTTTCATGGGATGGTGTGCATATCCATTTCAGTATATAGCTGTACATGCTTCATCCACTTGAGCTGGAGACTTACTAGGAGTACTGTTGGGACAGACTATGTGCCCTGCCTGCCCTCTATTTCACCTGAGGGCATATGGAGCTGTGATTATCTTGCTTCCCTCTGTTCCTCCTAACTGCTCATCACAACATTAAGCTATCTATACTCCATTCTGGATTTTTTTTTTCTGCACAGCCAGAATTCACTTTACTTGTAAGTAGTTCTAATATTTATTAGTTCTTAACTCTACTAGTTATTTATATAACCTAAAGCTATTGGAAATTCTAACCTCAGGGTTTTAAGCAGTGTCTTGTGTGGGGGTGGGAGGGTTTTATATGGATTGTTTGTTCTGGCCCAGGAAAGGGAAAGACGCCATCTGTAAAAATCTTCTCTTTCAAACAAGAAAGTAGAGAGATCTGTCTCAAAGAGCTTTCTTCGGACTTAGCAGATCCTTATCCTTCCCAGGCAACTCCTGTGCTAGGAAAGGTTCTCTCTATCAGGGATACTTCTCCAGCTGCTTGTTCTTCTTTTCACCAAAGGAAAGCCTTGCAGTCAAAAAGGCATCTCCCTACCTAAGCAGGCAAAATAGATTTTTTTTAATGAAGTCGGATGAAAAGTGTGAGGGGCTTAAAAAAGCAAAGCAAAAAAAGGCCCCTTGCCATATCCTTTCAAAGATCACCCGCACACACAAATGCACACACCCTGTCCAAGGTGACCCTATTATCAGACAGCACAGTGAAAACCAGTATATTCATTAATTTCGAAGACTGTTAATTTAGGTATGGCACTGTCATGGCTGGGTCCTTGCCTCCTTTTCTGCCTGTCTCCAAGATGGTTGATGGGTATTGTTAGGGTGTATTCCAAGGCATGAACATTTCTTTTTTCATTCCTTGTCAGAATGCTTGGCTGAGATAGTTGTGAATACACACTTATACTAAATTTACCTCGAGGAATAAAGATCAGAAGAAAATTGCATGTATTTGGATGCAAATCTTACACGACAGCCAGCTTTATTTGCCAAACTTTCATCAATTGGAACTCTAGATTCTAGTTTGGTAGATTAAATTGAGAAATGCAGTAGGTAATTCAAAGCCATCATCACTGGGGAAAAAGAGAGAATGTTTTTGCAAGTTGTAGTTGATGCCATGGACTCCACTTCCTACCCCATGCACTTTCTTTCCTGGTCCAAGTGTCATTCCTGTGAAGATCCAGCACGCAGAGGCTAGTTCGCTATTCAGGAGTCAGACTTCATTGCTGACAAACATGAACTGAAAACACTAATAGGTACCAGAGTTGCGCTCTGCTCTTTAAGTGTAGCTATGCCAGTGACAAAGAAGAAGTAATTGTAGCTTAAATTCAGCATAGTTCTTTTTATCTACCTAAGCAGGTAGACTTATCAAAGAGATGTAATCTTTTCAAGCAGAGGGACAAACCATACTTTGTTAAGGGACCACTTTGATAGTCATCTTAAAAGAAGGCTGTCAATTTCATAAGGTTCCTATTAAATCTTTCCCACTCTTTGGGAATAATCTCTTCTTTCTCTACAATGCCTGAGACTTTATATTAGACAAATGGATCCTGAGTACTGTAGAAAGTGAATACAGTTCATTCCTTTCCTCATCTCTACCCAATTTCCTGTCCCTCTTCAAAGACCTGTCTTATGAATCTGTGTTAGTACAGGGGTTGTGCACTCTGCTATACCTGGGAGAAATAAAGGAAACTCCCCCAAAGCATATACAGAAAGGCTTTTATTCCTATTGTTTCCTTTTGCCCGAGAAAAGATGTGGTCTGAGACCAATTCTGACTCTGAGAACATTTTAAATAACTTTTATAAGATATTCAGGCCAGTTTCGCTCTTTCCCGGTTCCTTTCAGGTTCCTTGATATCTAGCTGAATGCTTCTTTTGACCTGTAGGGTGCCTGCTTCCATGTGGCAATTTTGCCAAATTGCAAGAAAAACAAATATTTACTATGTTAGGTTGCACATACCTGGGTGATATTCCTCTTTCAGACCTCTCATCAGTTTTGAGAGCCTTTACCCAGAGCCTAGTGGTAGTGACTGTCTGCTGTCAGAGCTTGCAGATCCACGTTTGTTTAACCCAAGTTATTGATTTGTCTGGGGCTGGTTAATGGAAAAAATTCCATCAGATAGATCCAGTTCCTGGTGACTCATTTCAACCTGAAAGCAGAGAAGTCCACTTTATTACTGGTACAAAAAAAATTAAATCAAGTTCATCATCATCAAGTTCTGTCCTTGATTGTATGAGTTGCTGTCTGCCTATCATTATACTGGTGTTATACTATCTTGACTATGTGCAGAACTTGCAGAGCAGAACCATGACTAAGTCTATGATATCGTCAAAGACTGCTAAACCATGTGGCCTCATGAATGTGTGAGACTTACAGTGTTCAGGTTTGGCTAGGCTCGGTGTACTTAGTATCCTGATGTGTTGCTCATCCACTGTATATGTTTGTTCACAACTTGGCTTAAGTGCTTTTGTCTCAAATAGTGGGCATAGCTGCTAATATGTTATTTTCTTCTTTTGCAGGTATTTCAACCAGTGGGTGGGGTTCTCAGTTGGAAAACTTATTAATAAGATTCTGTACCAAAAAGGTTCAAAATAATACTTATTATACCAGAAAGGAATCCATCTGTTTTGATAAATAGAAGAACCTATTAGTTTGGACAGCAGTAAACAAATGATGGCAGAGTTGGCATAAACTACAATAAAACATAACAGGGCTTTCTATCATTTCAGTTAAGGTTTACTTAGTAGGCATTTTGGCAGCACATTCTTTTGTCCCAAATAACTTCCATCTTGCTTTGTGAAGTTTCCTCAGTGTCCATCTTCCAATACAAGATCTAGTTCTCACATGTGAATTAAACCTATTTCCCTTCTTAGCCAATGGACTGTCTGTATGAATCTTTAAGTATCTTGTAGTCTCTTCCATCTTTTACATAAAACAGATTTTTTTAATGGTGGAAACATCATCTGAAAATGTTTCTGGATTACAAGCCACTATATACAATTTCCACAATTGCATGATTTTTCTTAAATTCATCATAAATGCCATGCCAGAAATCATTTAGTTCTTTAAGCTGAATCAAATAATCCATTTACCTATACCTCTTTCCTAAGCCTCACTTCTGAAGAGGCAAAGAGAAATGTTGACAAAATGCTCCCTTCTGCATCGATGAAACAAAGACCTTCACCAGAACTACTTTGGTAAAGAGACTGAAATGTCAGTTAATATCCACCTGGATTACAGCATATCTAAAGACTTGCTGTAGTTCAGCTCACAGAAATTTTTTTTTGTATATTTGCACATTTGACTTGGCTAAAGCAGTGTCCCAGTTGTAGATATTTGTAAGGTTAAACAAAAGAGTTTTCACTACATGGCTTTCCTTGACATTTATTCCTTAATTGAAACTTGTTGTCCCAGTGCTGACTTTGGCAGGGTAGTTCTTTGAGATGTTTTGTGCCTGTGTCCATTCCACATGCTCCCTCCTACCCTGCATCTCCAGAATTCTGGCAACAGAGAGGCTTGAAAGCCTGGGGATGTGCAGGGTGCATACTCTGTGCCAGTGGCACTCTAGCAGATGTGTAGTGCATTTGATAATGGAGCGTGTGTGCGCGTCTGGCACATCTTGAAGAATAATTGTTATTGTGAAGGTAAAAGCAGCTTCCCTTCCATCCCCATAGTTCTTAACCTGAATATGCTATATTCTAGCATTGTCTGCTTTTTCCCTTTCCTAGTACTCTGAATGGCTATCCAATTACAGTGCATCTATAATGCCAAAACACAGTCTTTACTTCACTCTTTTTCAGTTATTCTGTCAAACTTCAGCTACCCAGTTTTGCAATGGTAATTTATTCTGACCTAATAGGATTGTGCAAGTAGTTTCCATTCTTAATTACTTAATACTACTTGAGGTGATGAAGGACAGATAAATCTAGCCCTTATGTGGTGTGGTTTTTAATTTTATTTTTTATTGTGGCTTCATATGGATGCAGGAGATGACTATTCCCTGTTCTCCCAGAAGAAAAATGTTAATGTGGGGCCAGTGGGCTGTTTAGGAATATGTATGGATTTAGCCTTTTATAATGGGGGTTAAGTAAGAGTTAAGCGATCGCAACTTTAAGTTAATGCTTCTGTTACTGTTGACCTCTCATTTTGGCTTTAGTTCAGTAAGTGCTAGGGAAGAAGCAGTACTCTCAACTGTTTGCTTTCAAGGCAGCTGTGTGATTTTTCTTTTGGTGTGTTAAGCATCTCTTTTCAATAAAACAGTAGCTCAACATGAATTTTAACATTACTTTGAACATACAGGGCACTAACAGATATTCAGAAACTTCAAAGAATGGTACTGGCAAACCAGTATAATGGCCTACTTTGAGATGCTGGTTCTTCTCCACAGAAATAGAATCCTTCACGATGTATTGAGCCAGCATTAAAATGTACATTTGTCCTAGCAGACAGATTGGATAAGGAGAATGCTGTCCCACTCACTTTTTAACTTTTCCTTTGCATTGATAAGGAAAGACAGTGTTTATACAGAGGCAGACCAGGGGCCACATAGACTGGAAAGAGAGCTATACAGCCACTTAATGTAATAGCTTCACTTCCACAAGGGTATTTAATGGGCTTAATTTCAGGGTTAGATTTGCTGTGATATGGAGTAACTTTTGGATATGAAAGCGTTGGGTGTTTTTTGGTAGGAATACACATTTCTAACCATTTATGTGTTCAGTGGCATCATCTTTATCATGACAACTCTTGGAATAGTTTTGCTTACCTTAATAGCCTTTGTTGCTAGCACAGTATTATAGAACTATGTGTATATGTGTGTGCGTGTATGTATATGTGTGTTTGTGTATATATTATATATATATTTTAAAAATTAGGGTATTAATGCTCATGTAAAATAAGAATTTATCTTTTTAAAGTAGATAGATATTTGATTCCAACAGCCATAACTTAAGCACTTGTAGGAAGTAACATACACTTGATGTTAGGTTTCCTCTCAATTAAGACAGCTGCAAAATTTGAATATGTTTACCTTCTATTTACTTCTTTCCCCAGGTTTTGACAAGCGTATTGGCATGGTTGTCAACCACCAAACAAAAGACTCAAAGCACATATCTGGAAAACCTATACTAGACAACAACGCAGTGAACCTCTTTTCTTCCGTAGTCATTGCTTTGTTGCTACCTGGTATAGCATGGGGTTTTTGGCCAAGAGGATGAAACATCATAATTTTTTTATATGTGGTTCAAATCTTACTCAGAAATTTCTCCACAGAGCACTATTTTTGCCTTACTGAGGGAAGGGGTCTGTAACCTTTACAGAGCCATAAGGGCTTAACTTCCTTAAGCTGTAAGCTTCATGTAACAGCCACCATCTTTCTGGGCAGAGGTGATGGCCTTTTAATAACCAGTCAGTACAGCTTCTTAACTGAACATAGATCACTACTGTGTGACATGAAGTACTTCATCAGTCACACTTCTGATGATGAATACTTGGCCTGCAAATCAGTTCCAGTACCCAGAAGCTGGGAAAGGGAGAGACTGGATAATGGACCATTGCCACTGTTTACCAAGCTAGACCGAATGCTACATAACTTCTTAAAAGTTCGTAATAGTACAGATGAAATCACTGAATTTAGGTTTAGTACATATTTTCCATCACCTGCTAAGTTTTATAGAAACAAGCTAATGTACCTTAATTGTATTTTAATAAGCAGCATTGCCCATTCCATGTTTTGATACTTTTACCAATAAGATGAACACCCTTGTGCTTGCTTTTTTTCTTGACAGCCTATTTGACTTGTATTAAATGGGGTTATAAAGCTTACGTTAGCAGTACCATGAGGTACTTCTTACCAAATTAAATTACTGATATTTAATTTAGAGTACAATTTGAATTAAAACTCATGTGTTTAGAAAAGTTGAATATTGCTACTGAAATTCTAAAATTATACATTAGAATTATACTCGGTTTTTCACCACTGATACTCTTGATACTCTTCATGTCTGTTCTGAGTAGTGCAATTTTTGTTGCTGTTGTTGGGTCCCCAGTAATGCAACATATCTGTTTAGTGCTAAATAAACTTCACACTGGAAATGGAAAGGTGTGAAGACCTTTACCTTTACCAGCTTTCACTTCTGTCTTCCAGTGGCAGGCTAAAGAGATTTTCAGTTGATATGGTAAAGGATCTGATTCTGTAACTGGGTTGTGTGCATTGCCCACTCCATCCCTTTGCAGGATCTGACCCATAAGACCTTACCAGCTATTTTTCTGGTTTGAGTGAGATTACCTGTTCCAGCGATAATTCCCAGTTTGAAAGTGTAGCGGATCTCAAACTGGTAGCATCATTTAAAGCAAAATTAAATAAATGTTATCACTTCATGTCAATGTTTCTGTTGAAAGGCACTGAAACATAAAAAGCATGAATGCTCTTATTGCTTAGCTGTATTTTTACTGTAAATAAACAGGTTTTTCTTCATGCATAGTTGGAATTTTCTACTGCATCTAAATAGAGTCACATTTTTTTCTCTTGTTAAGTGGTGTTAAGCATCAGAGGAGGACTTGGGGTGGTGGCGATGTTCTGAGATGACTTACTTTCAGCTTAAATGTTTTATTGTCTGGTGTGTTGTTTCAGGGATCAAAGGTTTATTTTCAAACCCTTAAGTAAGTGTTTAACCAAGTTTTCACTGATATCTGATATGGGCATGTGTGGTGTTTTAGTTAACACTGGAAACACAACCATAATATTAAAATAAGCTTTCCAGAATAGTATGAAATGTCTTGATTTCTATTATATAAATTAGTAAAGTTTTTAAAAGTCATTTGGAAGCTTGCAGCAGGGTTGGGATTTTCAGAAGTGCTTAATGCTTGGTGTCTTAACTTTTCCAGTGAGGGGGGTTAAGTTTATGTGGAGTCATCTTGAAATTCCCACTCAGAAGGACCCAACCATTTTTTAGCTTTACAGAAAATTACATTGCCCTGGCAGGATAACATTACACTGAATAGAACATTTTAGGAGGGCGAACTTCAGCGAGCTAAGGAGGATAGTTGGAGAAGTGCTGAAGACTCAGAGGGGAGGGGAGCCGGGTGTCCAAGGGGAGTGGTCGCTCCTTAAGGAGACGATCCTCCAAGCCCAGAGGAAGGTAATCCCCAGGAGGGTCAAAGGGGGCAGGAGAGCATATAAGCCTCCATGGCTCACTAAAAACATCCGGGAATGTCTCCTTGCCA